TAGAGTCCCTTCGAATTCATTCTCAAGCTTTGCGAAAAATTTCTTGATTACTTGTCTCGGTATGCTATTACTGTCGGAAGAACCTGACATGGCGATATAATGATGACACTCTTCTTCTTCTTTCTATTTTTTTTTGGTTTGAATGTAAAACGACGAAAAGCTTTTTGCTTGTTAATGGAGGAAGTTAGTTCTCTGATTGGCATCTTATCAACGTAGGGACTCAAATAATAAGAATCGGATAATAAATAAATTAATACAGTAATAGGACGTGAAATTTTGTTAGTGTTGTCAATTCATTTTACGCTACTTGAATAAAATTTTAATAAATTTATAGAAAGTGGACAAATTTTGGTTTTGGGAAAGTAAAAAGAGAACGTACACTTGATCCGGGATTCGCAATTCAGCAATAACCACCGTTGGTCCCCACACTCCATACAAGAAACCCATGGGACCCACTTCCCTTCACCGACAACTGAAACTTTTCAGTCGATTCTCTGCAGTAGTGCATTCTACATCGCTCTCTCTCTCTGCAGTACTGTCAAATCATTCTGTGTGATGTTATATTTATGTCTTGGAATATAATGTTTCGTATGTTCATACTTGGAGCGGACATCAATCATCCACCATACTTTAGAGTATACAACAACTACAACATGTGATTGATGAGGTTTAATAATATTCAGTTTTAATTTTATTTTTGTTTATTAGAGCCTGACAATAAAGAATATTAAAATTGTCTTATTAGCTGGTTAAGCCGCCATTATTATTGTTAAACGTCGCATGACAACGAACAAGTTTTCTTTAAATATCATTATTCATTTCAATTAATCAGAAAGTTAGGTTTTGAGTCGTTTAAAATACATTAGATGTACCTTACCAAAAAAAAAAAATACATTAGATGTAGTGTGAACACCCCCAATGAAAAACATTATGGTTAAGACCTTGTCGCCACTCAAGATAAGACATTGCGAATTATTATTTAGTTATTGTTTTCAGTTTTTAGATTGTTATGGAAATAATATAGTTCTGATTTCCCGTTACCGGTCACAATCGGATTTCCAATAGAAAAAACAAATTAAATACAGTTAAGTCTCATATACAGTATATGCGAATGTGTAAACAGACGCATGATGACTAATATAAACAAACCAAATAGCTAAAATCTGATGATTTCTTAATTGCTGCTTGAATTAAACAGAACGTGAAAAGTGAATGTTAATGCTAATGTTGCGATGTTGGGACTTTCAGTTCAAAAACACCTGTTAATTGTGAAGGCCCTTTAACAAAAAAAAAAAAAAAAAAACACCTGTTAATTGAATTATAAATATCAAATCCGCAGACCGCACGCATACGACTTTCATATACACGTGCAAATGTTTTCACGTGTCATGTACCTGAGCCACAGACGTGGCCTGTCAGCCTATTTATTTACTAGTGTGAACGCAAATATTCTTTCGATTATTTTCCAACTATGAAACATTTTTAATCATTCGTTAAACATTTATACACACACACACACCACGACACAAAACAAATACAGAACTAACTTCCTCCATTAACAAGCAAAAAGCTTTTCGTCGTTTTACTTTCAAAAACAAAAATTTAGAAAGAAGAAGAAGAGTTTATCATTATCGCCATGTCAGGTTCTTCCGACAGTAATAGCGTACCGAGACAAGTAATCAAGAAAGTTTTCGCAAATGTTGAGAATTGAGAATGAATTCGAAGGGACTCTCGGTAGAAATGCCATCACAGAGTGAGTTTTTCTTTTTTTCTTTCTTTATCAAAACTTTCTCATTTAAACCAAGTTGCTTCAGCTTCAAGTTATGTTTCTCTTTTCGGGTTAATACAGGATTGACCACAAGTTATTGGACCCGTTCGAGTTGCAATTGGAATTTTCCTGTAAATTTCTTCCTCCCCCTCAAATTCCAAATGTTTGATGTTTACAAATATACAATAATCTAGAAACAGCCATTTATTTGCTCTGTTTTGCTCTGTTTCTTGATCAGTTTCGCTTTCAGCTGGATTCCCGGATCATCCTCACCGAGGTCAATATCAACGATACCTTCTCACACACGCATATACATATTACGTACACAAAGCCTACTCTGTTTCTGTAATGTCTCTGATGTAATTAGATAAACTCTGTGCAGGTTTTGAAAGTGTTACATACATACTACAGGTGAGAGAAAGACTCTTCCATCTTCTCCATAGATACGATTCCTGAACCTTGATTCCAAGGTTCTAACGACTTTCGAAAATGGTTTTAAATTTACGCAGGGAGGTATCATTCACAAATTTCTCAAAGGTGATAAAAGAACAATCAGAGCCGGAGATGTCCAGGTAACATAAAAAAAAGAACAACAACAAATCCTCTCGGAGGTTTCTGGTTTCACTCAGTTTTGGTTTTGATTTGACAGTGGATGACAGCAGGAAGAGGAATCATTCATTCTGAGTCTCCTGAATAAGAAATCAACGACGGCTTACAGCTTTGGATCAACCTCCCTAGTCCCTTCCATTCACAGAATGTAAAAGAGACAAATTCTTCATTATCATGAACTTTGAGATATTTCTGAATGATTTGATGTCCAAATTTGAATCTCTTTCTTCTTTTATTTTCGACGGGATCGAGCCAAAGAACCTAGAGCTATCGAGTTCAGAGATTCCAAGAGCAGCAAAAGATGGGAGTAGTGGTCAAAGTCATAGCTGGAGAGTCAATGGGAATTAAATCTCCTTTCTACACAACAACACCAATCATGTACCTTGACTTTACCCTCAAACCAGGATCTCAAACTCACCAGACCGCTTTCGCCTACATTATAGATGGCGACGAAGGTGTGTTCGGTTCCTTGAACTCTTCCGCTATATCGGGGCACCATGTTGTTGTGTTTGGAGTTGGGGATTTAGTTAGCGTGTGGAACAAGTCAACGTCAAAGCCGTTGAGGTTTCTGTTGATTGCAGGGGAACCGATCGGTGAGGCTGTTGTTCAGTCGGGTCCGTTTGTGATGAATTCACAGGCAGAGATCGATGTGGCTTATGAGGACTATCAGAATGCTAAGAATGGGTTTGAAATGGCTACGTGTTAAAAGGTTACACAATAAATGCCTTTTTATATACCAAACGAAGAACCGAAACATGTCGGACAAAACTGGAAATAAAATAATAATTATATTTATATTATAGGCATTGGTTAAGTAAGTACTGTAAATGCAAGAAATAAGAAGTAAATCTCAAGACCAGAGAGAAGGAGAGTCGAAATACGAAAGCAAAGAAAAAAACAAAATTACCACCAATCAGTTTCAAAAATCACAACGAGATAATATGCTATGAGAGGCGACTAGGCAGGCATCCGTGGAGAACTAATATGTCTCTCCATATGGTCAAGAATGTGTAGACGGGCTTCAAGTGCCTGTACCAAAAGATTCACAAAGTATCTTGAGTGGAATTCTATGTAGCTTCATGTCCAACTGAATTGCTGTCACACCATAACGTGTGCAAGCAATGCTTTCTCAGCAAGTGCTCCTGCATCACATGTAAAACACAATTTGAAAAGGAAAAAACGATGGCAAAACATACAAATGAAACCAAAAAACTAACCATGCCCAATTTCACGCCTGCCAGGGCCAGGTTTTTCGACTATAGCACATTCACGAGTAGCATAGTTCTAGCAATGGATAAATTGATTTTGCCAGCGTCATGTTGGAGGCAAGCACGCCTACCACAATGCTTTTCCACATTCATGTTAATTTTTCAAATAAGAATACCAAAAAAATAAGTGCACCAAAATCACACTTTATACCTTTAAAGAGAAAGATTTGAGAAACAAACACAAATTAAATAATTACATTTGATGTTTCGTTCAACACAAAATGACCTGTGTATCTCCGCATGAAACACGTGATGACCCATGCTTTGAAACTACGATTTCCTTCATTTTTTACAAAGTGTCATATTTCCATTTTGTTTTGTAGGAAGTATCTTTTTTCCATTGTTTTGTGTAACAAAGAAATTTGAAAAAACAATGAAAAAACCGTAGCTTATTGTTGCTAGCTAGGTAAAATAAAGTTATTAACGTTAAAAAAAATATATCTGTGGTTTAGATAAACATTTTTTGGTTGGGACAAAGTAAAATAAGCCATGCAAATAATACGTGTATATGTTTTCATAAAAGACATAAATGCACATGTATGGTTGATAACTTCTGAGACTATAAAATATTTGGTTCGATAGTGCCAGGGTTTGAAATTCGTCATTCTGTTAGTTATCATTTCAATCATTTTTCCTCAATGAAAACAAAACAAATAAAACTCAATCGCAATTTCACTCTCACGTTTTTATATATATAAACTTGAGCAACGCTAAAGTCAATCACAATTACATCAAAAGAATTAACACACGCATGCGTGAGTACAAAGTGTTGCACCAATTTTAAGTTGAGTTTTTACATGATCGGAGATCAAAACTCAGACTTACTCTCTCTTGGCAAAATCAGTCTACCAAGTTAAACTCTCTACACCCTTTCTTGGCACAAAGTCAGTCTACCAAGTTAAATCAAAGCTCAAATTATGTATATACCCACCTACCTATATGATTATCATCGTTTCAACCTCGTGTATCACGATGGTCAATGCCTCAACCATGTCTTTTAATTTCCCATATAACGAAAACGCATGATTAAATCATCAGAACCAATAGGAATCACGATATTAGTAGAAACACTAGAGATTAGAGCAAGGTTTGGCCGATCGAGTTTAATTTATTGGTCTTGAATATCAAACCATCGACTTGAGAATATGTCGTCGTCTTCATCAAGATCGATTAAACCCTCTAAATTAAAGTATGTGTTTGGGTTCGAACCTGATCCCCATTCTTCCTTTACCGCGTGGCTTCCTATTAACATGTTGACCATCTCCGCCGTCTCATGGCCGGTTTCTTGAGGTGGTGGCGGAGGCGCCGGAAATTTTGTTTGGGTTATCTTTTTTTTAGTACCGGTTTTGGTGATATCCGGTTTACCGGTTAGACTTTGGACAAGTGTACGGAAGTTCTTGACGTCGGTGTTGATGATCTCCGGAGCAAATATATGGATGATACGGATCTTGGGCTTGACCTTGGTAATTATTTGGGAGTTTTTGTTTATGGGAACCAAAGTTTTTGAATAATTTCCGTAGAAGCTTTGATGAGGAAGATGATCAAGATCGTACTCAGCCTTCATTGAATCTCTCACCATTCAGACAAAAGAAAAGGTTTGGGTTTTGTTTTTTTTGTTGGATTTGTTTGAGGTTTCTTGTATTGTTTCAAGATATAATATGCATATGTTTTGGATTATATGCGTCTGTATATATACACAAAAAAATTGTTGATAAGATAAATAGAATATATGCAATTAAATACAATATTATTGTTGATAGGTCAAAAACATCGATTAGTTAAGTAACAACAGCTGAATATGAAAATAGTAAGAAACAGAGATGGAAATAGCTATGGACCTGCCTTCCATGACACATATAGCAAATGGATTTAAATAAACAGTAATTTTTCCAAGAGAATTATTTGTTTCTTTTACGCCATCGAAATTAAATGATTTTTAAAGTTTCCAACTTGGCATATTAAAGTTAATAAATAAATAAGTAAAAAACGTAAAGTAGATGGCGTGAGCGATGTTTTATTTTATGATTTGGTGGGGTTGACTTAGCACATCGGCTTTACCATTGGATGCGAATTTGACTTTGTTTTGTTTACGAATTTGTTAATAGGGTTGTCGGCATAATTCATCTTATATGGCTTCTGCTTTCTCGGAATAGTGTTTCTTCTAGCTGTGAAAATATCTATATAAAAAAACAGACCATTTTTTTCAAGTAAAAGGGAATATGTAATTGTTTATAGTCTGCGGTAATTGTAAACATCGTCACATATGTGACGTATATAAGTTAGACCTTCTCTATTGTATGGGACACGGATTAGATAAAAAACGACCAAACAGCACTTTCTGTGTGGACCTACTAATAACTTAACGAACACACGACAGATACTCGTCGCACGTGATATGTGCTTCAACCTTGCACGTGCAATGCTTTTTGTTTGGTTTAGAAACACGGCCGATAATCATACGGAGAGGTCACACAAATTCATCATCCAATTAGAAAAAAATATTATTATACTTACATCAGTTGAGTTGTTTTCTTTTTTTCACTACTTGAATGTTGCATCAACCGAGTTAAAGGTCAAATTTTATTTAATTCATAGAAAATAGTTATAAGCGTGTTTTGTTATATAAATTTCCTAGAGATTTGACATTTGTATGTAGTAAGTAGCTGTCTGATATTTTGTTAAGGATAGGAAAACATATTTTCTCAGTCATTGTTTAATGTTGATACGCGGGATTGTAGACTTCATCATCTCAATCCTCATACTGGTAGGACAAAATTAAAAAACCTCTATACTAAGAACGAAAAACTAAGAAGTAGGTAGGTACCATGTAAATACAATTAATTAAGATGAGAAAAAACAAACAAAACAAAATCATTTGATCATGAACATTTCCAACAAATTCTTAGACTGAATATATATGAAGCCAATAGTTTCCTCGAACTAAGAGACCAGAACATGTTGTATCGATATTTCAGCCCTCTCATACAACTACATGTCAACATGTACCGGTTTGATATTCTTGTTTCTTTAAGACAGCTATTTGATCAACCAATTTTTGGCTCAAATAAACGATTTTTTTTTTTTTTTTTGGTTAAGATATAGAAATGGATGATTTCGCGAGTTAACTAAATTGAGGATTTTCGTTGGTAAAGTATAAGATCCAATCCAATGCACATCGTAGTAAAATTAGAGTAGAAGTAGGTTCTTGATTATGATCCTTGGCATAACGTAAACCATAAGATCCAAAGCATATCGAATTATACGGTAGAAGATTAAGTAACCATTTTTTCCAATAAAGTGAAATTAACTATAACCTCGTCGGAGTAATACTCGAGAAGTGAAAAACGTAGAACAATCATCACCTTTACGTTTATTTCATCGATTATTGCATCGAAATAAGAGACCCCTGATTTGACTAAAAAACAACTCTCGTTTCTGTAATTATAATCAAGAATCGATTAAAAAAAAAGCCGAATCTGTAAAGTAAACAGAGAGCCGAGAAAGTAAAAAAAACAACTCAAGAACACACACGCTTATTTGATTTTGAAATCTTTGCCAATAATTGAAAGCTTAAAGCTGTTCTTACAATGGCGTTGGGTTGCTTCTCTCTCCTTCGATCTCTTCCCTTCTCATAGCATTTTCCAGACCTGAAACCGTTCGAGCCAGATTTCTCTCCATCTCTCCCACTCCCAATCTCATCTGCTCGTGGCGACGAGCAAGTCGCCTCAACGCGTTTCTGATCCCAAGCCAGTCGTCTTCCTCCTCATCTCCGTCGGCAATCGCAGCCAGACCCGACAATCGGATCCTCATCTCAGCCTCTGAGCCACCAGTTTCCACTTTCGCCGCCGTGGGGAGCTCGAATCGGCAGAGCGGACACGAGTTGTGATCCGATAGCCAAGGGACGATGCAACCGGAGTGGTATATATGGCTACACGGCAATCTCCGAGCGGATTCTCCGACGACGAAATCCTCTTTGCAAACGGCGCAGAGTAAAACGGAATCCGGATCGGGATCTGAGCAATCGGCTGAACAGAGCATGGACGACGAGATCTGGATCGTAGGAATCGAATCGATATCCGAAGATTTCAATAACGATGAAGCAGAGGAAGAAGAGGAAGAAGACGATCCGGAATTCTCGGATGCGAGATGGCGGAGAAGACGGTGGAGGTAAGGGCTATCGAGGAGGAAATTGTCATCGGAATTAACCGTCGGATCAACGAAACACCAATCCTCCTCGTCGTCTTCGTCTCCCTGTTCTCCATCTTCTTCTTCTTCGAAATCGCCGATGGTGACGTCAAAGAGAGTAGGGGAAGATTCGTCATCCATACGGTCGAGGAAATCGACGCGACATTGAGGACACAATAGAGGAGAGGAAGCGGAGGATGAAGAGAGGAGGGATAGACTCATATCACATTCGTGACACCAGTAAGTTCGCCGATCAGGATCGCCGTGGACGGTGGTGGTGGTAGTTGTGGAAGATGACATTTGAGATTTCGTGGTGGTTGTGAAAAATGTGAGTGAGAAATGAAAAAAGAATGCGAAGGAAATTAGTGGTTGTGGAGTGATAATGGATACATGATTGGTTTGTAGCCTTTGAATGTGAAGGCCTTTTATTTGTTTAAAAGTGAATGGATTAAAGTTGGTTTGAAAGGGCCCACCATTTACTTGGCTTTATACAGAAGGTTTGGTAGTGGGTCTATCTCTCTGTTCTCTATAAAGTCTTCTTTGCACTTACAATTTGTTTTCCACTTAAAAGTTAAAACAGTGTTGCCCTTTTATCTCTAAACAATGAAATGTAAGCTTGTTGTTTTGTCAAATCGTTTATTGAGTGTGTTATTGCCTTATTGGTCTTGAAGTTAATAAAAAAGACGTGTTTCTGCATCTTATGTAAATATAGACGTACTGTTGAATAGAGTTAACTGTAGTCTTGTATGTTGTAGTGTCATTATTTCAAAAATTGAAGATATAGTTAGTACCATCAGTCCATCATCTTGTGTTGCAAATAAAGTTATAAGTATATGAATATCAGTAAGATGTGATGACAAAACTCTAGCAAACATAGAGACAAGTTGAAATAATGTAAAATGGATGCAAACATCAAAAGTCGCTTTGGCCGAGTGGTTAAGGCGTGTGCCTGCTAAGTACATGGGGTTTCCCCGCGAGAGTTCGAATCTCTCAGGCGACGATCATTTTATTTTCTCAACAGATTTGTTTCGTGTAATTTGCGTCTCTCTCTCTCTCTCTTTTTCGGTGTCTTTTTTAAAACGCTGCTGCAACGTGCCTTATCGTGTAAGCAATAAAACCTCAAACAAAAAAAAAAGAAAGACACAATCACAATCACCGTTTCCAAGAGAGTATGGGCCAGAAATTAATAGATTCCAGTTGACAACAAACAACGAGCAGAAAGATTTCTGATTTTCTAAAGAATCTCTGACTCTAACAAATTATCTTAAACATTTCCACCTATCCACTTATCTTTGCTTAGCAAAATTCCAAAATTTAGCCATAACCAAATCTGGAAAAATAACCAAACATGACCGCATGACTTATCTCAGAATGTTCTTTCTCCTTCTCTCTCCAACCACTAAAACTTTATTCATTTTTTTCTTCTTCCAGTATCCAACCAAGATTTTATAATTATCACAACTAATCAACCAAAGAAAACGTCGTATGAGCACATAATGAGGTTGTAATAAAGTTATTGGGGTAAGTGGGAAGAGTGTACAAACTGAAACAAGCTTCTCCCTGTCTTATTCATGCCATTTTTTCCCTCCTTTTGGGGAAAAATATATGTTGCTTTTGAGGAAGCTTCAAAATCAATCTCTCATTTCGTGGGTTTGATTTCTAGTTGATTCTGGGTTTAGGGTACGAAAAAAGCTCCTTCCTTTAATTTCATTTTTGTTTCTGAAATTTCCCCTTTCCTCTGTTTTCTAGGTCTGAAAGTTCCTATTTTTACTTTTCTCTCCAAAATTAGGTTTCAAAAATCTCAATTCCCCTTCCTTTTGTTGCTGATGCGAATTCGATTATGGCTTCTCAGGTCGAGATTGATATAAAAAAACCCTCAATTTTTGCTGCAAATTTGGAAGCGATTGAGAAATGGCCGGAGGGAGTGAGGAGGATCCGTTCACAAAGCCAATTGGAAGATGGTCTGTGTTCTACTACGGAGTTGGGCATATGCTAAACGACATTACTGCTTCTTGTTGGTTCACTTACCTCCTCCTCTTCTTGACCCAAATCGGTCTCTCCCCAAGGTGAAAATTTCATCTTAAATTCCATATAATTTCGTCTCCCTAATTTGTGAATTGTGATAATCAAGTTTCATTTTTTCATTCCTTTATGTAGAGATGCAGCCATTGTTATGCTCTCTGGCCAAGTTGCTGATGCGTTTGCTACTATCTTCACTGGTGAATTGGTACCATTTCTCTCTTTCTGTTTAAGCCTTCAGCTTTGTGATATAGAACAAATTTTCAAAAGTTTAGTTAACATTCAAGACAAATTGGTCTTCTGTGATGGCAGATAGATAGGTTTGGGCATTTCAAGATTTGGCATGCTGCAGGATCAATACTGGTCGCAATCTCATTCTCCTCGGTGTTCGGAGGTTGTCTGCCTTGTTCGATCCTTCATAACGACTCTTTAACCCTTGAAACCTTCTCCTATAGCATGTTTGCAGCTATATTTAACATTGGATGGGCTGCTACTCAAGTTTCCCACATGTAAGCCTCTTCTTTCTCATCTCTTTTCACTTCATCTTTACACATTTCCCTTTTTTTGGTTTAAATTCTTGTGTGTGACTGTGTGGTTTGCTTTATCACTCTTCAGGGCTATGGTTAATTGCATTTCGTTGAACTCAACAAGCAGAGTAGCGTTAACAAGCTGCCGTAACGCGTTTACTATGGTCAAGCTCTTCACCTGATCTTTGTTTATTACCAAATTTGCTTCTTGGTGATTTAACAGTGATATGTTGTTTAGGTTGCTAATCTTGGCTTATACGCGATTGCTTTAGTAGTCTTCGGCGTTATCAAGGCTGGCTCCAAAGAAAACACCGAAACTCAGGTTTCATTCTTGTTATTGACTTCTCTCCATTATGTATACTTTGGAGTAGGTAAGTATGTTACAATACTGATTCCATGTTTTCTCATTAACTCTGTCTCTGCAGTATCGCTGGATTGCGTATTCATCTATCACAATCGGGTTCTGCTTTGTGGTCATATTTCTTATGGGGACGGAAGAGCCTAGGTATGTACATGCTCAGTTTCTCTGACTTCTTGCCTTTAACAAGATATTTGTTTAGTTTATATGAATGTTTTATATGCATCTTTAAAGGATGAGAATCGACTTAAGAGAAAGTAGCCGAGCAAGAACACCGTGGGTCTATTGGTTTCGGAAACTTCTATACTACCAAGTCGCTGTGGTTTACCTCCTCACTCGTTTAGTATTGAATGTTTCTCAGGTCTGTTTCTGCTTTCTTTCTTGCTTCTGTTTATGTTCATTTTGGGGTAAATTCTCACCACCATGTGTTTGCATTCCATCTTCTCAGGCATATCTTGCATTCTTTGTTATCGATGATTTGCAAATGGATCAGTCCGCTAAAGCTTTGGTAAGATATTCTTCAAGCTTTCCCTCTTTTTCATCATATGATCATTATAGTCTTATATATATGATCACTCTCTGATCTGATCAATTGGTATTATTTAGGTTCCTGCCATAATCTACATCAGCAGCTTCGTTGTTTCTGTCCTGCTTCAGGTTTCAAATTCTCACACATTCATTCTTCAACTATGTCTTTAAGGTTCTGTCATTTAATGTTAGTTATGTGCGTAACAATGTAGGAGATTCCATGGAACGGAAGACGGTTAAAGGCGTATTACTCAGCTGGTGGTATTATATGGATATTCTGCGGTGCAGCGATCCTTCTATTGCCTAGAGACATAAGCTCTTTCATGTACGCCATATCAATCTTTATTGGCATCGCCAATGCATTGATGATGGTATATAAACAACATCTCTCTCTCTCTTTACCTCTCAGTTTTTGATTAGTCAATCAGGTCTTAACTCGTCTCTGGTTGTATTACAGGTTACAGCGATCAGTATGCAGAGTGTGTTGGTTGGTGCAGAAGTCGGTGGATGCGCATTCGTTTGTGGTTCGTTAAGTTTCTTAGACAAAATGTCTTGTGGCCTTGCTCTATATGTTCTTCAATCTCACCAAAGTAAGTTCCTTTTTCTTTTTGGGCAATCAAATTCAAGAACCACTGTTTACAGCAGAACGATTTGTCACAGTGGTAACCCGGTTTTGCAGGTACTTCACCAAGAACCCAACTAAACAACAACCAAGAAAGTGTTTACCTTTCGGTTACAAGATACGGTTTAGGCCTTGTTCCAGCTTTGTGCTCGTTTGTTGGTGTCGCTGTGACGTTCTTTATGGAGCTTGAAGCTCCTGGGTCACTGTTGAAGCCTCTACGTCAGACGTTACTAGAATGACAACAAAATGGTTTAAGACACAATGACAGAAGCTCGTTTGTTTCTCTTTTAAACATGTTTAATTTACGGTCTACTAAACTTGTAACTGTATACGAGATTCTTTACACGATGATATTGTACATACGGAAGATATATCACACTGTGACAACAATCACTTGTAATTTATTCGGTTTGCCTTGGATTTTGGGTTTACTTTGCATGTAAAAAAGTGGGAAAAGATTACTGTGTTTACAGTCTGCAAACATGTTTGCCTATAGTGTGTGTGACAGTAAATATTACCCAACCAGGAAAGAACCATGATTAATAAATACTACATAACCATTTGTACCGGAAGTTCCACCTGAAATGTTCTTAACCGGGTTATCCATCAATGAGATGCCTCTTCAGACCGGGAAGATGTTTGGATGTTGACATAAAATGGTTCTTGATTGGGCCAATTAACGGTCTAACTAATTATAATTTACACTTTACAGTAAACAGATAGTAGTATTATTTTGTTCATTTTAATTTACAGTAAAACAAATTGTTTTTCACTACTGAAACTGTGAAAGGCTTCTTCTTCTTCTGCTAAAAACCCTAATTTTTGGGGCCTTGTTGCAGTCAGTCGCATCCTAAGAATCGGCCTTGGAGCCACCGTCACCGATGAATCCGATAAGGTCGTCTTCTCGACGAGCAAGATAAGAAATTATCTTCTGCTATTTTGACTATCCAGGTTTGATTTGATCCAACATTTCATCTCTTCTTCCTGTCAATTTGATTGTGGATCGTAATTGAAACTTGAAATTGGAAATTCGAATTATGCGTTCTCAGGAAAGATCGCAGAGAATAATGGGGATTGAGATCAGATATGAACTTGGCACTTGTTTTCGGCACAAATGTAGTTCGTAAAGCTTATCGCTTTCTCTCCAGCTCCAGGAAATTCTGCAATGGGAACTTCACTGGTGATGATACCGATATTCGCTTCCCTGATTTAGTAGATTTGGATTGCGGATTTGACGAACACGAAAGCATCGATATCAATCGAGAAGAAATCTCTGCTCGGAGCAAGTTTTTGGAAAGTGCCAAGCTTAGCGCGTCTCGAGTCCTCGAGACATTACATCAAAACGACTCTGGATTCAATACGAACTCAGCTTTAGACGAATTGAACGTTAGTGTCTCAGGGCTTCTCGTGAGGGAGGTGCTCGTAGGGATCTTAAGGAGCTTGAGTCACGATAACAAGCCCAGATGTGCGAAACTAGCTTACAGATTCTTCGTTTGGTCAGGAGAGCAAGAATGTTTCAGGCACACTGTGAATTCTTATCATCTCCTTATGAAGATATTTGCAGAGTGTGGAGAGTACAAGGCAATGTGGAGATTACTAGACGAGATGGTTCAAGACGGATACCCGACGACGGCGAGGACGTTCAATCTCTTGATCTGTAGCTGCGGCGAGGCAGGTCTCGCGAAGCAAGCCGTCGTGCAGTTCATAAAGTCCAAGACTTTCAGTTACAGGCCTTTCAAGCACTCTTACAACGCGATTCTGAACTCGTTGCTTGGTGTGAAGCAGTATAAGTTGATCGAGTGGGTTTATGAGCAGATGTTGGAAGACGGGTTTTGGCCAGATGTGTTAACGTATAACATTCTCATGTGGACGAACTATAGGTTAGGGAATATGGAACGGTTCGATAGGTTGTTTGATGAGATGGGTAGAGATGGGTTGGCTCCTGATTTCTACACGTTTAACATTTTGCTGCATATTTTGGGGAAAGGGAACAAACCGCTCGCTGCTCTTACTACGTTGAACCATATGAAGGAAGTTGGGATTGACCCGAGCGTGATACATTTCACTACTTTGATAGACGGTTTGAGCCGTGCGGGGAATTTGGAGGCTTGCAAGTACTTTTTCGATGAGATGGTGAGAGTTGGTTGTACGCCGGATGTTGTTTGTTACACCGTGATGATCACGGGGTATGTTGTGTCCGGGGAGGTGGAGAAGGCGAAGGAGATGTTCGAAGAGATGACTGTGAAAGGGCAATTGCCGAATGTTTTCACGTACAACTCCATGATTCGAGGGCTGTGTATGGCGGGAGAGTTTAAAGAGGCGTGTTGGTTGCTGAAGGAGATGGAGTGTAGAGGGTGTCACCCGAATTTCGTAGTGTATAGTACATTGGTGAGCTGGTTAAGAAAGGCAGGGAAGCTTTCTGAGGCTCGCAAGGTAATAAGAGATATGGTGAAGAAAGGACATTATGTTCATTTAGTTCCAAAGATGATGAAATATAGGAGATGTTAGTGTTTTTCTTTTTTTTTGGGGTTTTTGTTGGTTTAGGTTGTTTGTTTCTCTTGTTTATCGATTTTTGTAACTTTAAACCGTCTTATTTTCCAAAATTTAGAGAAGGGAAAAAATGGTTCATGGTAGAGCAATGATACGGTTTGTGGTCTTTCTGGTTCTGTCTCTTTCTCGTCTTACACGCCACATTTGGTGTCTCTTTCTCCATCTATAGTGCCTTAAGCTTCATTTCGTATTCTTTGTGAACATTAGTTTGTTTATCATGCGATTGTTTATTAAAACCTCTCAAATTTATGGAAACCTGATATCTCTCAACTTAGTTTCTTTTTCCCACTGAATTTGTAATTTATTACTTCCAAAAAGGAAGACCAAAAACCGAACACACGGTACAGAAAAGTGACCATAACAATTCACCAAAAGACACAAAAAGAAAAAGAGCATTTCATTCCTCTTAGTTTACTAGCCGGGTTAATTAAAATTCCTATAAATCTGATACTTTTATTGATTTTCAGCTCTTCGGCTCCATACTTTTTCTGACGGAGACAGTTATGTTTCTGTTAAAGATGGTCGGATTCGATCAATGATCTCCATTCTTTCGAATACTGATTTCAGTCTTACCATAGATTTAACCGACATATGTTAATATCGGTTTGCAAAGCCGACATGGTACTGTATCAATTTCATAAAATGTGAAGTCAATTTCTTTCTTTAAATTGTCAATACTTTACAATAAAAATTGTGTTTTTCTTTTATCTTTCAAAGAAAACTAACATATTCTAATTATAACATTTTTATATAGAAATATCGACACAGACTCCCTATACATGGGATAACAAAGAAAAAATTACAAAGTAAGATTAACCAATCGATAAGTTTACAAATATTGACCCACACATTACAGCTATGTATCAATGTACCAATGTTTCCTAGTTTGTTCAGCTATGTATCAATGTTTCCTAAATTTCCTACTCGATGTTTTGAAATTAAAATGAAATTTGGTCACCACATTCGTTAATCAATTGTTTTGAATAATATCAATTTTATCGAACCTTCTAACCAAAAAATGTGAAAATGTCCATCCTAAAGCATTTTACCATCCAATGTTTTGGAATACTTATGCAGATTTAAAGTGTGTGCAGCTTTTGTGCCTATTCAAAACCACAAATAGTATCATCATTTTATTATTGAAATCTGGTTTTCATTATATTTTTATATATTATCTTTATCCATAATGACATTACATAGTGTACAAGATAACAAAAAAATTCAGGTAAAAGTTGGTGATAACCCGATTTATTTTTTTTCTTCCAAAGAATATTAACTAAATCTAAACATTTGATATTTGTTAATGTTTGAGTGGTGTATATTTTCAGAAAACAAGAAGAATTGACTTTTAAATTAATTATTTTAAAGAATAAAATAATTTTTAAATTACTACAACAGAAAACAACAAAATTTTATAAATCTGAAAGTCAAAACTCAGTTTTTATGGTGCAAGTATATAAGACAATCAATAAATAAACTACAAACGTTGATAAGT